TTATTAATCTATATATATATATACAATATATTGTAATTAATATTATACTTAAAATTTAATTATCAATAAAGAACTTAATCTAATACTAGTTATGATTTATAAAAGTAAAAAATAAAAATAAAATAAAAATCTATAAAATATTGCAAATAATTTTTTAATAATCTAAATAAAGTAAATAATGACAATATAATTGTAGATTAAAAAATATATATACAGTAAAAATAAAATTTAAATTAATTCTTTAAAATATTATTTTTTTAATAATCTATAAATTTTAAGATAATATTAATAATATCTATCTTAAATTTTTTTTATACCCTTAGTTAGGCTAGGTATATGTGCTTGATTAACATTTGTATGCTTTACATTTAAAATATTTCACTAAAGTTGAATCTCTATTTAATTCACTTATCTCTATTTTATGAATTTTCTAAAACTCTAAATGCAATTTCAAGAGAATTTATCACTTCATTAATAATTCAGATAAAACCCTTTTTAACTGCTAACTTCATAGCCTGCAAGTTACTATTGCAAATAAAAATATCTATCTTAAATATAATCTTATATATACTGTATATATATAATAAATTATAAGATTAATTAAATAAACTTTACAAAAAAAAAAAAAACTCTTCTACTAATTCTCTGACCACACACAAAAAAGACATTTGCAAGAAGTTTTTATTTTTCTTGACTAATAAAGTATTTCTACTTTCCTTAAAACAACTTGAAGCTTATCTTTAAGAGTCGCTATTATCTTCTTTTTCTTATTTATTAACTTCTTTAAATAAAAACTTGAACCTCTAGTAACCTAAATAGATCATGTATATACTTCCTCTACTAAAGATAAGAAGATTCTAGAAAGTAAAAGGATTAACTTGTAGAGTATCACCTTTCAAAGCTGAATGTGACATGGCGATCAAGGTTTTCTGGATAGAAGAAGGCTTATTATCCACCTTCTCATATACTATCACTTGCCCTCTTAAAGTGTCTATAGTTTTTTTATGGTTTTTTTTGAAGAATTTTGCATACCCCAGTTTGACCCTAAATTTCTGGTAGCACAATATCATCTGACTTCTGATTGGTTAACACGAAATACATTGGTAGCAAGATGTAAACAAGATTCCATTGACTATACTCACGTGTTTTAATGAAAAGAGAATTAATTAATGTGAAATTTTCCACTCCTTCAAATAAAGTGTAACTGAAGCAAAAAGATCATAAGACTATTATAATAGATACTAAATTCTCTAAATGATGAAAAGATGATTATTTGTTCTAGTTGAAGTTTTCAACTTTTTATCATTTTGATCAGGCTAAGTATATGAAGGAGGTTATTTTCTTATTCCAGTCAGGTAATAAGACTAAAAAACAGAAGACTGTGAGCCACTATCCTTTTCTAGTATTGAACTATAAAATTTTACCATATGATCTCCCTAGTACCCAGGATAATTCCAGTATCTCAGATCAATATATTATGATCCTTTTGGTCACCTGAAAATAAAGATCTTCTGGAACACTTCTAGAATATTGATAGTTGATTTTGCTATTAACAAACTTAGTATAAAGTACTCTAAAAGATTCTATAGTTTTAACTTATCACATATAACTATTATTTTTTAAGGATACTTGAGTTCTGTTCAAAATAATATAGCTTAATAGTTCAGCAAAACTAATAGTATAATAATTACTATTATTTATCTTAGTTTATATTCTCAAATATCATATACAGTAGCTCAATTATGTATTTAAAAGAAAAAAATCTTCTTCCGAAAACTTCTCAGAATTTATCCAATAATAAAATTAACTCTAATCCAAAATTATTATCCTGCCTCTCCTGTCTAATCATCAGTGATAAACCTCTTTATTTATTATTGTCCAAATTAGGAACTTTTGCATATCATATTAGAAGTCTAACTTGATGTTTCACTATACTAGTTCTCCATCTCTATCTGATTCCTAAGAGATGAATTTGATAGGTTTGACACTAGGATTGAGAATGCATTTTTCTAGACATTGTGTAATGATATTGTAATCAACAAAAATCTCTATCACCTTTTGATACCCTTCCATTATTGTAAGGTAAAAATATCTTTAAAGAATGACTTTTTGGGCAATGGAAGATTACATCAATAAAATTCCTTTAACTAGGTATGGCAGCTGAAAGATATTAGTAGTTATACAATATAACTGAAAGGTTACATAAGAACCTGAAATCTATTATAAATCATTACTTAATATTGGTGAATAAAAAATCAATATCAAAAAAAAGGAAGTGATATGCAAGAAGCTGAATCTGAATAGACAATAAGTACCTTAGACAGTCACAAAAAATAATCAAGATTATGAATGAATAAGTTCCTTAGATGGTCAGGAAGAAGAAGAATATCCCAAAAAGATTGGTTCCTAATGAAAGAAGGTTTTTTTAACAGAGATTTTTTGGAGAACAAAGAGCACTTTTATTTTTCTTATTTTTTTTTCTTTTTATGTATACACATTTGTGTATTTTTAGATATTCATCTTTCTTTTATTTTTCCTTTTCCTATTATAGTTTCTAGAAATCAGTTCTTTAAAAGATGATTGGTAATGGCAACCTGCTGGCAATAATGAATAAGTTAGAAGAGTCTTTATCCAAAACTTATTCTGAAACAAAATATTGTTGCCAAGATTACACTTAGAGACTTGAATCTTATATGAGAATTGAAAGCAACAAGTGAATTAGCATGAGATATAGTTTAGTCAAGATATATTTGTCCAATTTATCACAAGTGGTTTTGTTATTTATAATTAATAAATGCACTATGCTAGCTTGACTATGGGTTTTAAAAAAAAAATTAAATAAACTTTGCAAAATTCTTTTTGCTAATTCTTTAATCATATACAAAAAAAATACTTGCAAGAAGTTTTTATATTTCTTGACTAATATAGTCTTTACACTATTCTTAAAACAACTTGAAACTTGTCTTCAAGAGTTACTATTACCTTATCTCACTTATTTATAAACACCTTTAAACAAAAACTTGAGACTTTAGTAACCTGAATAGACTCAAGTATGTATTTCCTTTATTAAAGCTAAAAAGATTCTAGGAAGTAAAAGAATCAACTGGTGAAGTGTCATCTCCCAGAGTTGGACACAACATGAAAATAGAGGTTTTTTAGACAGGAGAAGGTTTATTATCCATCTTTTTACATACTGTCTTTTGCTTTCTTAAAATATATATAGTTTTTTATAGTTTTTTTAAAGAATTTTATCTATCCTAGCTTGACTCTAAATTTTTGGTAATGCAACATCACCTGGCTTCTGATTGGTTGACATGAAACATGTTGGTAACAAAATATAAATAAGATTTAATTGATCATATCCATATGTTCTATTAATGGCATTGATGAAAGAAATAGAAATCAAATATATAAATTTCTCCACTCCTCCACTCCTCCACTCCTCTAAATAAAGTTTAACTGAAGCAAAGAAATTATGAGACCATTAGAAGGGATACTATATTCCCTAGGTAATAAAAAGATAGTTATTTGTTCAAGCTGAGGCCTTCAACTTCTTATTATTCTAATCAGGCAAAATACACAAAGAAGGTTATTTCCTTATTCCAGTCAGGCTATAAGACTAAAAAGTAGAGAAATGTAAAATACTATTCTTCTCTAGAATTGAAAATATATTTCTCAAATATTGTATAATAATATTGCAATCAAAATGAATATCAGCAAAATTTCTTTAACTAAATGTAATTGCTGAAAGATATTGGGAGTTACTCAACAAGACTGAAAAGTTATATAAGAATCTGAGATCCATCCTTAGTCATCTTTTTCTATACAAGTGAATATAAAATCAAGACTGAAAGAACATTGATTTGAGTAGATAATAAGTATTTTAGATGGTTACAAGAAAATAATCAAGAGTATAGATAGATAAGTTCCTTAGATGGTTAGGAAGAAAATGGTTATTCCAAAAGGGTTAACTTCTAATGAAAAGAGATTTTTAGTAGAGATTCTTTGAAGGACATGGAGCAATTTTATTTTATTTTTTTTTTTCCTTTTCATATAATGTATTTGCATAGTTTTAAATATTCACTTTTCCTTTTATTTTTCCTTTCCTCTTTTGAGTTTCTTGAATTCAGTTTCTTGAAGAATAATAAGTAATGACAATTTGCTAGCAATGATAGGTAAATTAGAAGGATATTCATCCAAAATCTATCATGAAATGAAATATTGTTCCCAAGATTGCACTTAGAGACTAAAGCTTTTTTGAAAATTGAAAGGCATTGACAAGTGTATTAGGACAAGTCTTTTAATTTAACTATGATGCAATTGCTCAATATATCTCTATCAGTTTTTATATAATTAATAAACACACAGTGCTGACCTGACCATGGGTTTTTTAAAAAAAAAAAAATTAAATAAACTCTACAGTAATAACCTGCAAGCAATAATATTAAAAATTGAAATGATTTTCACCTGAACTTCTAATAGAGCAATAAATTACTCTCGAAATTGCACTTAGAGTAGTAATTACAAAGATGAGTAAGCTAGTTAGCATTTTTTGGCTTTAGCAATTCATATTATATATATAGTTTACAAATGTTTAATAAATCACACAACTAGCCTGAGAGAGGGTTAAAAAAAAAAAAAAAAAGATTAATTAAATAAACTAATTATATTATCTAAAACCTAAACATAAATATACTACATATAATATTTTTAATTAAATAATTTGGGTTTATATAGATTAGACTATATACTGTATATTATTTATAAAAAAATTATTTCGATCAATAGATTATTCAACTCGAAGTCAATCTCACCTTAATAATAACAAATTATTGAAACGTATCTATTATTATATCATTTTACAGTAAAATATCCCCTTACAGTAAATAATTAAATTATTCGTGCATTTAACTTGAAAATTACGAAAAAAAAAAGTAAAAAGCACAATACGTAATAAGAAAGGGAATAAAAAATATATCAAAATGATAATATAATATGATCTACCATAATATCCATGTATCTATAAAACATCAAAACGTACAATACAATATATACAATAATCAAAATATTTTATACCAAAAAATAGTTCCACTTTGTTTAAATAATTTGGGTAATTATTTTCGAAGGCGGACAGTGATTTTTCGGACCTTATAATTGTGATCCTAAAATTTGCATTATATACGTATTATTAAAAAATGGGGGCCGAAAAAATCATATTTAATATTTTGATCGCCTTCAAGAATAATTGCCCATTTCTTCTTTTGCAGGTTTCCCAGTGTTCGTACTTTCGGTCGCAGGAAACAATTCTGCCAGTAACTCATTCAGTAATTCGTTGTATGATGGATAATTCGAAGGATTGGCTAAAATATTTTTAAATGCAGGCGTTTGCCTTATTGCAATGAAATTAAGAACTGTATATTTCATCACCTCCTCTTTCAATTCAGGATACTTCCACGCTGTACTAAAAAGGAATTCGGCTGCATCATCAACATTAAGATTTTTGAGTATCTCCAATTTTGCATGTTGGCGCAAATCATCAACCAAGTATTTATCAGCAACTTGGAAAAGATCCAAAGGAGTGAGTTTGGAGTTCTGCTCATCATCATCCTCCACAAACGTGACCTTATTCGTATAAAGAAAGCGGAGCATCTCCAGAAAAGTTTGATAATGAAAGTCGGTAACTTCAATTACGTGATTAAATTTTTGTGATGAATTTCTATTTTCCTCGACATCTGTCTGATGATCCTCTTGTTTCATTGAATCTGACTCCGACCATTTTCCTTTGAAAATAAGTTCAAAGTACTTGGATCTAGCGGACAATATTGCAGAATTCGCATAAATTATTTTCCCTTGAACATTGAATTTACAATCAGATGTTGATGGGTTGTTCAGTTGACCTTCCCACGCTTTTACTAAATCTTGTGGAATAGGCTCGTGCAGCTGTGGATTACTCGGAAGGGGCCATTTTTGTGAAACAAGTCCCATCTCGGCTCGATCAAATTCAACTCCGAACAGGAAATGTTCGGGTAAATTCGCTTTACTAAAAAAAGCTTCCCAACCTTTATGTTTTGTAAACAAAACAAATTAGGCGAATGATTGAATGTGACTTCTATTTTTATTAATCTAAAAAGAATTTGACAAATGAAAATTTAGCTTACCCCAACCAGATAATTTTGCAGAAAATGAATTCATTTTTACAGACTGTCTCTTTAAATAAGCCTGATTCTTTGCATTTTTTAAATATATCTTTGCCGCTAATGTGTTTCTTCTTGTCCATATTCCTGTCCAAATGGCTTCTTCGTGATTAGGAATTGCATATAGAAATGCTGCACAATGATCCGGCTCCTCTGAAGACGACTAACAAATATAAATAAGAAGCTTAATTAAAATAAGATTAAGAAATTGTTGTGAGGCCATTGAGATCCATAAACTTACAGGTATGAACTCGAGCTGCCAAAACATATCATGCGAAGTGGCAAAGGGCGGACTGTACATCGAAACCGTTGTGTTGATTTTGGAAACGTGCGAAATCAGAAACTCATAGCAACATTTTGTCTTAAAGACAGACATGACGAAGGTTTTAAAGTATACGCAATATTATAAGGCTTTGAGAATACACAATCGGGTTCAAATTCAAAATCAAATATGTCACGCGTAAACGTTTCACAAATATAACAAAAATATAGTTAATTAGAAATTTCGTATTTTCCTTTATTAAATATATACAGTATATACTTAACATTGAAAAATGTATCACTAAAGCTAAGTCTCTACTTAACTTACTCATCTCTATTTTAAAATTCTAAGTGCAACTTTCTGTTAACTTCATTGCTTGCAGATAAAAATGAGTTCCTAAAGGAGGAGGTAAGGACAAAAGTTAAATGTCTCTTACTAGAAATATTAAAATTTTTAAATTAATAATTATAAAAAAACTATTCACAATTATCCAAATTATTGATTTATAGTATTTCTTGATTTTTGTCCCTATTAAAGTAAAGAGTTATAAATTTAGTTTCTCAAAAAAGAATATAAGCGAACTATAAAATTTTATATATTAAATACTTTAAGGATCCATTATTATCTACAAGTCATTACTATAAATCACTCTGTAATGTTCTGACTAAAGATAGGTTTTTAAAGAGAGAGACAAAAACAAAAGTCAAATATTCTTCACTAGAGAACTTATAAATTTTTAAATTAATAACTATAAAAAAAAATATTCACAATTGTTTTTTATTATTCAAATCATTGATTTATATTTTCTGACTTTTGTTCCTATTAAAATGAGAAATTATGAATTTTGTCCCTCAAAAAAGAACATAAGTAATCTGTAAAATTTTATATATTAAATACTTTAAGGATTCATTATTAATTTTGAAAAAGCTTAAAACTTAATCATTTTATTTTATTTTATACTCCATTTTTTTTGTTAGAATTTCTTGAAGACTTTTATTTTTTAGATTTCTTTCTTCAGATAAGGATTCTCTTCTCTTTAAGGATATAGTTTTCTAATTTGAAGAATATTAAGATCTTTTTGCATTATTTTCTTTATCAATTTCTTATTTTTATTTTCATTTGATTATTTTCTCATATTTCTTGTTCCAAACTTTTTTTTGAACTTGATTATAAACTTTTTTTTGTATTTTTATTATTTACTTTTTTTTTTTTTTTTTCTGGATTAATAAAATCAATTTATTACTATAAAATCACAGAAGTACTATGAATACAAATTATATAGTGCTATATTCTGAAATCTATCTAGTTTATATACCTACTTTATGTGATCTTATAAATTAAGCAATAAATCTATTTTTGTGATAAGTAATTCTAGAGCTAGCTCTAGAGCCACTATTAATACCTATATAGTTTGTTATTGAAAAAAATCTTACTATCCACCTTTCTATATTTATACCTTTTCCCAGTTTTCATCCTTGAGTCAAAGTATAGAACCACCTTTTTATATCTCATCCTACTTAATATTTTTTTTATAATATCTATTACAGTATGCCTATGAAGTACCTATATGAAGCTTTAGATATTATCTCATTCTATCAGAAATCCTTTTTATATGATCTATTATGGCCTACCTATGGGAAATCACATAGAGTCTTAAACAAATCTCAATTGACAGAGACTCTTCTTTAATTAATATACCTAAGTTCCATTAGTATTCAGTTTTTTATAACTAGAAAATCTTCAACCTATCAGTAGAAGCTTATTAAAACTTATCTTGTAATAAGATGGTTTTAACACTAAAATTGGTTAAAGTATCTTGTAATTTTTTTATTATCTCATAATTGAACAAGATCTTGACCAAAGGTGACAATAATCTTTATTATGAGACAAATGGAAACTTTCTATATTATCTAGACTTAAGTGATACTATCTCACATTGGTATTGTACTCAGAAACAGTATTTGGTGACTTGGGAGTGCTACTACTGTACTATAGATTTACATGTTTATTTATTTTTTTACTATTCTTGTTATATACTAGTTGAAATTATATCATTCGGCAGCTAAATTATTGCTAAATTTGATTAAATTTAATAATAAAAATATTGCCAAATTCTTTTCAATTGCTGCTACTCAGCATATTATATTTTGGCAATAAAGTGACAATAAAAAATTCAGCAATCAAAAATTCAGCAATCAAAAACTCAACAATCAAAAATTCAGCAATCAAAAATTCAGCAATCAAAAATTTGACAATCAAAAAATTCGGCAATCAAAAATTTAT